ATCCATTCATTTAGGCGAAGGTATATGTCCTAGAAATCCAGCCCATGAAACCAGGCGAGCGGGTGTTGAAGTTGTCGAATTTGATCTTGCCTGGCCGTAGAAGCGGGGAGAACTCGAGTCCTTCCGGCTACGCTGATACACGAAGGCGGGCCTCTCCGAGGAGACTGTACTGCCACTGCAACCATCTCGTCGTATAGGATTCATGACAGCGCGGCGACGCCACCAAGCTAAGAGCTGTAGCCCGAGACATGGGGTCACTTTACCCTCCGGCCTCCGGTATGCTACGCCTTCATAGGTTGCGAAGCCAGAGTCAGGCATATCCCATCCGGCGATAACCTCACTTGTCATTTTGTCTTGGCTGATCGCACACACTGCACACGTCGAGCGGGCTGACGAGTTCCATACGTCCTCCCATCCGTGACCTCTAGTGCACCTCCAGGCGCCGGGTCGGTCACTAGATGGCGGCACAGCTCCTCTTGGCATGGTATTAGGTTCACCAATGATAAGTTGTCCTGGGTATAGGCCTGTGTGCGAGTGTTCGGGCACCCACTCAAGCTTAGGTAATGTGTCACGCTTGAGATCGATCTCTGTGATATCGAATCCCATGACAGTTGCTTCGACGTCGGCGTGCGTGGATGTTTGTGGTGCTTTCCGCCGGGTAGATTGGTAGCAATTGTTGTGCATGTATCTGTCAAATCGGGCACCGTCCCATGTGGCATAATGTTGATATCTGGGACCTCCTGAGTGAAGGCTAGCACCGCCGAGTGCTGTTCACGGCGTCGGACGAGATGGGAAACGTCTGCATGAAGAGCTTGATGATCTCTCAGGTGCTCGTGTACCTGTGAGCGCCATCCCGGAAGACGACAGTATGTAGAGGCGGAGGTCGAATTTGAGGAAGATGGGGGGCGTGGTGAAGACACGTGCGGCTCTCGCAAGCTCATACGAATCTATTGTGGATGCTGAAAGATACGTGTGTGCCGCCCAGGTGAGTGCGCAGTATGAAGCAGAGGCTGGAAGCCCACGTCGAGCTCCAGAGGGTGTAGACGAAGGGCGTTGCGTCGATCGCGAGGCCGACGATGCTTTCGAACGTGATCCATGCACAACCGATCCTATTATCGAGGTGCATACACAGGTACTCGCAGAGTAATGATGTCGTGTTGTCCATATGGCAGAGGCCTGCACCGACGGTTGAAAATGAAGAGGGGTGGAGCTGACGCCGGACCAGATGGCGCATGCGGCCCATCTTTTGCGCCATGTGGCGTCCTTTGAGCTGCTTTGTATCCAGACGTAGATTGCCCACCCCGAGCTTGAACGTGGTGCTCCAATTGCGGGTCGCGAACCCTTTTCCGGGTAGGTCCCAGCTGGCCACCACATTGCAAGTCGTCTTGCCCTTTGCCTGCCCACATACACCGCATGTGGAGCGATCCGACGAGTTCAAAACGTCTTCCCAGACGTGGTCTTTGGCGTTGCACTTCCACGCGCCAGTGCCACTCCCAGAAAGCGGCAGGGCTCCAGACGGGCAGATAGTGAGGTCGTCGAACTCGATTTGGCCTGGCCATAAGCCGCCAGGGTGGTAGAGTAGCGTTCTGGAAGTCGAAGCTGCTTGGGCTGAACTCGGCGAGCTCAGAGTCCGGACTCTGGCTGGTTGCTGATGAGGTTGTCTTGCCGTTTCCCTGCCCACATACACCGCATGAGGAGCGATTCGAGGAGTTCAAAACGTCTTGCCAAACATGGTCTTTCGCGTTGCACTTCCACGCGCCAGCATCGCTCTCTGAGAGAGGTAGGGCTCCATGAGGGCGGATATTGAGATCGTCGAATTTGATTTGTCCCGGCCACAGGCCGGTAAGGGGAGTATGTGGCCGCAACTATCTCAGCGCCGGCAAGGTGTCGTTGTGGAAGCCAAATGCATTCACGTCGAACTCGGCGGCGGTGTCATGGCTGGCTCCCGTCGAACTGCGCGGTCGCGGTCGCTGCGGGATAGTGCTCACATCGGTTGTCGCAGGAGGCTGTCGCGTTGGATTGGCTTGCTTGCCGGAGGTAGCGTGAGTGTGGTGCGTTTATGTGCGGGACGGCTCGATCGCGCTCTGGATGTCGAAGCCACTGGGGTTGTAGTCGAGTTATTGTGGCTGGCCACTGTCAAATCCGCTCGGTTGCGACCGCTACGAAGCAGTACTGACAACCTCTCGTGCGGGTTGCTCCAGGCAAGCAATAGTGGCCGCCATACTCCTTTCGTTTCCCGAAAGCTCATGTCGAATCACCCTGCCGTAGACGTGAGGGTGGATGCGTATTCGTATCGTGATACTGGCACCGCACAGCTCACGATTGGTGATGGCGCTGGCCTGTTGTATCCTGCTGTCCTTCCACGCTACCTTCGTCTCCCGCAGATTGGTTGCTCTGAGCTGGCTTGACGTGTCGCAGAGGCGTCTTTGCGCAACCCCAGCCCGCCAGACATGTCCATTGTGCCCTCGTCTGCCTCTCGCTTTGCCCTGGGTATTGTGTAGTAGACCCTATGCGACACGTGTAGTCTCTTTGTCATATCCACACAACTCGATTGCATGCCGTGATCGCTGAAAGTAGGCCCCTGGTATGTTCACGTCTGCCCACCGCATTCATGGGACGCATGGAATGTGGTATCCACTTTGCCGTCGGTTGGAGGTAGGTTTCAGGATCGGTGGTATGACAGGATGCTGGACGGAAGTAAGCAACATGTAATCGTTGACGGGATGTAGCCTACTGTTTGAATTGGAGGCAGCGGAAAGTAACGCCTTGCCATGCCGTTCCATCTCCACTGCTCGGGCGATGCCTATACGCCGTTGTGGGTGTGCTTGGGTATCCAGTCATACTCAGGCAGCGTGTCAAGCGTGAGGTCAAACTGGCGTATGTCAAAAACCAGGACAGTATCGCCGCGAGTCTCTGGAAGCCGTAAGCCGTGGGCCGTGGCGAGTAGACTGATATCCGTAGACAATTTCCCAGACTGAGGCTCGTGGGCTTTCCGCAGCCATCCAGCTCGATGTCTGGGTGTGAAGCGGGAAATGTCGGAGGTTTGACTCGTCATGTTGTCGAACTTGAACGGTCGCAGCAGGCATGGGGCAAGCATAGTCGACGCGCAATTGAAACCTCGAAGCACACAAAAGACACTGCATGCGACACTCGTCGGGCACCGCTCGTGGGCGGGGGCTGTGGGTCTTTGCCGAACATGAAGTTCCCGCACGTCGCGATGGCTGGACGCGCTAACCTGAGAAGGGTTTGGCGCAGGCGCATGTCAGGGTTTACGTTGACGCACGTTACCCCGCAGCGCTAAGAGCGCGCCACCTGGGCAGCATCCATGTTTCGCCAGACAGAACGGCGCCCGGCTAAGAGGAGTATCAGAGGTTCTTGGAGATGCGATACTTCTCTCTTCGTAGAGTATCTCCTCGCGTATAAGTTGTATGGAATGCGGGAGGTGTAGTTAGCTCGTTGTCTCTAGGTCGCCTTTAGGTTATTGCAGTACCGTAGGATGGCGATGCTAAACTATAGGCTTCGAATTCTGCGCACACAGTAATGAGTTAAAGAGGGGAGTATATAAAGCGCACTGCAGTGTCTTTGTTGCTTCTATAACACACACATAATTATGCCGCTTACACCCTTCTCCTTCGCGATAGTAATTATCCTTACAATTATCTACCTTAACGTCTACGCTCGCCTAGCCTACCCTATAACCTCGCGTCTTGCTAGCGAGCTTATCGCAAGAACACTCGGTGTCTATTAGCAACCTTGCCTATTACTCTTAGCTTAAAAGATGCAAAATACAAAGTTGTACTTGCTCTTCCTAAGCACTTAAATAAGTATGTGCGATGCTTGTCTGTTAGATGTGCTGCTTACTTGTGTAGAGATAACTTTAGCAGCTAGAGCCTTCCTTCTAGCTAAGAGATTAGCTATACAAGGCCTGCTCCTTCGCCTTTAACAACACGCCTACGTACCTACTTTAGCAGAGACTGCCTTTATAGGCTAGATTAGCTTCTATAGCAACAACAAACAACATGCAAGAACTAATATTATCCTTGCACCTTACGGTCTGCGAGTTCTAATACAGTATAGGGTTTAAGCTGCTTGGGCTGTCTTAAGACAGCAGGAACTAGCATGTAGAAGGTAACATTACTTAGCATAGAAACTAGAATTAAGCAATAAATCGTATTTTGGAACGAATTTGACGTATTTGATCGTATAGGGCCGAAGCAAAGAGGAGTATCAGGCATCCTCGTACGAACTGTCCATGTCTTGCCTTGTACTTTGACAGTGTCCTAGTACCCCAACGCTCAAACACTACTACCTAGGTGTCCGTGATGTTCCGGTCCGAGCTGGCCTCAAATGTGTGTACGTTACAACACGCGGGAAGAGACTCGATCGACCACGACAAGCGACACGGCATTCTTTACAAACGCCAGAAGGAGAGGCATGACACGGACATGCTGAGTACGTTCCGTCGATTCGGTCTCGGTCACCGCGGCTTATTGAAATGGAACATGTGGATTTGCACTGGCACTGGAGTAACGTGATGTGGGTTACCGGGGCATGTGCCCGAGTACAAGACTCCATCGGCACAGAGTATCACACCAGGCTTGCAACCACAGGTGCGCGGTTATTCGAGGGGTATAGAATGACTATGTAATACGAGAGTCGAAGGCGTAAGTAGAAAGCGTGGCAATCAAGATTTCAGAATCCCGAAAGTGGGTCAGACGTGACCGCATTCCAGCTGGGTTTATTGCCGCATGCTCATCAGTAATACAGTGACAGTTTTCATGTGGATTCGCGGTCGAGACACCCACGATTGACACCAATGGAACGTACGGCATTGCATGTGGGACGAGAGTTTCTGGTTACATTGTCATTGGGTATCTACTGTCGAAGACCGTCAAGCCTGGGTAATCTGCGTTCAGCCAATACCGACGGCACATCCCCTCGTCGTCCTCTGTGGTACCCAGTCATTCGTTCCTGTCTTGCATATCGCTGGCTGTCTCGCCTTAGTCATCGATCACCATCGGATCATCCACGGTGGCGCCAGAGAGGTGGGTGGCGACAACAGAGCGATCTTGGGCAGATGCGTCGTCGCTCGACTCGTGCCACGCATTTAGGTAGACCCTTGCTCGGAGGTAACGATCGGGGCCGACCGTGTTGTCGAGAGCCTCCAGTCGAGCCTCTGTCAGAACGCGGAGATCTTGGTCGGCTGCAATGACGCTTTCTTCGGATTCCCTTTCGGCAAGTCGCAAAAGAAACACGTCTCGGACAACGTGCACGATAGAGGTATCGGAGTCAGCCTCATGGAAACGCATGCGAAGTGCGTACTCGTGGTCATCAATGAAGTCCATAGCAGCTTTCTCTACAAGGTGAGATATCTTCCGGTCATCTTCATCTTCGCGCTCCATGACTTGGGGCCACAGTGCGGGAAGCCGAGCAGCGATAGCCTCTAGCCACGCCCTCATGCGTTGGTCATCGCCCACTCCAGCGGAATCCAACTGTTGACCTGCATCCATGTGCGATGCTTGCTCAAAGAACCATGACGGAACCTTCTGGGTGACCCAGAACAAGTTGTAGCGTGAGAGGTAAAGCCAGATCGCGAGTGCGTACGGCGCTTCGTGAATACATCCACGCTGCGTCTTCAAGAAGCCGGAGAGAAACAGGTGTATGGGCTTGCCAAGCTCGTCGCGGTAATCAGCGTGTTCGAAGCTGTCCGCATCTACGTAGTCGATGTTGTCAATGAACCGGTCCCTGGTCGCCGGCAGGCCTCCAGGCACGGCCCAACCCGCATCTTGGAACACGGTGAACCATCGTAGCAACGTCTGCGGAGACATGGTGGACTGCAAGCTCGGTGCTTGGTATGCTCCGTAAGGGGAGGTCGTCGGTCCAGCCAGCGCTACGCCAACCTCCAAGGCCAAGGTCTTGAGGACATGATGCTGCTCCTGCAGGACATTGATTTTCGCTTGAAAGAAATGAGTCATTGTCTTTGCGTTTTGCTGATTGTGCTCAAGCCCCTCCCTGAGGTCTTCCAAAATCTCGAGCCTATCCTCGGCCGACCTGCATGTGCTGGACCACAGCTCCCAAGCTTCGGTCAGCGCCTTTCTGTTCTCGACGCCGGCGCGAGCTGACATGTCGTGGATGAGGTCAGCACCGGTCGGCTTGTTCTTGAGGTCGTGGTGGATAGCGGCGTCATTGGATTCATCGCGAGCAGACACTTCGTCGGAGCTGTCGGCAGGCTTACTCTTGAGGTTGAGGTGGGTAGCGCTGGAGGCGGCGAGGTCATCGTGTGGAGCCAGAGCTGCGTCGGCAGGCTTGCTCTTGGGGTCGTGGTAGGCAGCGCTGGAGGCGTCGGCGCCCGCAGGCTCGTCATTGGGGTTGTCATGAGCAGACATGTCGTTGGTGATGTCGGCAGGCTTGCGGTTGGGGTGCTCGAGTGAAGAGTAATCGGCCATGTTGCTGTCGTCCTTCTGTATAGACGCGACGTCGAGGGCGTTGGGATCCGCCATGGAGTGAGGAATGTGAAGAGATAGTGGTTGGGAAATCAGCGCACCGTGTATCGACCTCGCTTATTCACCGAAAAGTGAAAGCAACCTCACGGATACGGAGAGGCAAGGCCAGGTGACGTCCGCGTGGGAGGGCCTTCTCACCATTGTCGAAATGTTATTCACCTCACCAGCACAGCGCTTCAGTTCAATGACGTCGCTGTAGCGCCCTGACCCCCTTTCCAACCTGCTAACGTGGAGGAGCTCTATGTGAGGCAAAGATGCGTAGCAGAGGCTTCCACTGTCGGGCATCACATGATAGTTAGAGTCCGTCATCCGTCCCGAAGTCTCTTCTCTTGCCCAATAGCAAGAACAATAGAGTGCGGCTTTGATTCAGATTGCGGCTTGGTCATTGAGAAGACACAATAGAGCTTTCTAGGAACGGAGTGTTTCTAATCCGTGTTGCATTGTCGGCCTGGATCGCGAGAGGCCTCACAGTGCGATGCGCATCTTGCCCACAACTGTTTTGTAGATGAGACGTACGTAGTCCATCACTTGACGCATGTGCGAAGCGTTTTCGCTCAGCCTGTTTCGCGATCGATTCTTGGAAGCCGGTCTCCATTCGTGAAGTTTTCAATGTAGTCGCCTCGAACCTGAGCACAGCAGTCACGACGAACCTTGAAGTGTCGCTCATCGGTGCTTGAAGAGCCCCGTCGCCAGCATGGATCACGGCGAGTGACAAACAGCATGCTGTAATGGGGTCTAGTGGAGAGGCCTCGCGCCATTTCATGATGCCCACCCCGACGACTATGCGCCCTCGCGATAGCACGCAACCTTGGAAGCAGACGACTCACCAGCCAAGGATGCATAGGCCGGAGTTTGGCGACTTACCTGCAGCAGGGCAGACGCCGACAAGGGCCGAGCCGCCGATTGCGTATCGAAAGATGCACAGGCGCTCAAGCACAGCTGATCACCCATATGGGTTGTCGTTTAGCGCGCAGTCGATGACCATAGGACTATAATCAACGGCTTTCTACAACCTGCCTAATTAGGAAGTCCTCCACAACATCTAGCTCGTTGACAGCACCGCAAGCAGTTTTAGAATTAAACAACGGCTCCGACCAAAACGCTCGACTTTCCAGAAAGCACGATGCAACAGACGCAAGAGTGCGCAAGTTACTATCCGATTTCAAAATACAAGCTGCGCGAGACGAGCATCGCAGCTTTGCCGTATTCCACGGAATCAGCCCTATACCACGGCCTGGAAAACAAGAACGTCCAGGGCCTGTCAGAGATGAAGTGCGGACCCTATCGAGCGATTTCGTGACATATAATGGCATTTTCTTTTCTTTCGGCACTACACGATGGCCTTGCATCACCGGCACAGTGGCAAATTTCATGTATCACATTTCACAATCATAGCGCGTGGGGGTGCAGCAAAACTTTTATCTTGCTCAATGTACCAGAAAGTCATCCTTCACAGCTGCCGTAGGACAGCCCTGGCTCAAAGCATCATAGAGTCATCCTCCTTTACTCATCTTCCGCTAGTCATCGTGCGCATCACCTTCTTTCCAGATTTGTGCCTGATGGACGACCTCGGCGACCAACGCCTTCTTGCCTTTATCGTCGTGGATAGTAATCAAGAGCTTCACGTAGCCCCTAGCCATTTCAGCATGACTAGATGCATCTTCATCATAGGCCCACCAGACGCAGAGCATCGCTCGCAACAACCTTGAGTCATCAGAGAAGAAGGACTTATCGTCGAAGTACTCCTTGAACTTTGCATGCCGCGCAGCTGAATCCCAATCAGGAGGGGCCCAATTGTGGTAATCGATCTCGGTGAGAACGGCTTTGAGCTTCTCCAGAGACGCTTCAATAGCCTGGCCACTCATGTAGTTTCTCGACATGGGATCCTTTGGCTCGGAGTGGCTATACTCTAGCTCCCTCAACGTGTTGGTCATCTGCCTGAGATACGCACCACTGGTGGCGGGGTCAGTCCATGGGTAGACATATCCGTCCGGGTTGTCAGCCCGATCACCACGGTAATCCTCGCGGTCCTCGAACAGCGAATCTTTGTCATCGGGTGTATCTTCCCTCTTGATAGGGTTGCCGGCTGGTGGCGCGGCTGGCGGCGCGGCTGGCGGCGCGGCTGGTCGTGCGAGGGGTCGTGCGGTCGATCGTGCAGCTGGTGGCGCGGCTGGTCGTGCGGTCGATCGTGCAGCTGGTGGCGCGGCTGGTCGTGCAGTGGGTCGTGCAGTCGATGGCGGTATGGTTGGTAATGCAGCTGGCGGTATGGTTGGTAATGCAGCTGGCGGTGCGGTTGGTTGTGCGACGGGCGGTGCAGCTGGAGGCGGGATTTTGTCTGGTAATCTCCGCCTGATAGAATTATCGACGTCTTGAAGAATCTGGTCGAATCGCTGTTCCCCAGCATAGCCCTTGATAAGAGCGAGGTCATCTTCTATAGTACGGAAGTCATCAGACCAGTGTCCAGGCCGACGAGATGCTTCATCCAAGTGCTGCGGCTTGCTGTGAGAAGGCGCTGTGAAGTCATCACGCTTCTGACTATTTGACCGCTCTCGCTTCGGGGTAATCTTCTCGCCCTTGTCGCCCTTCTTTTTGGGGGTTGCGATCTTCCTCGCGGGCGCCTTGTTTGGAACTTCGATGCGGTCTTCGGAGCGGTCACAGAGCCTGCCCCAGATCTCGATGGCCTTGGCCTTGCTATCCCACTGGAAGTACCGGATCCAGTAAGGACGCAGCCTCTCAGTCGGTATGCCGGGAAACTGCTCCCTCAGCAGGTAGCGCATGCGCGCCTGTCGCTGCGACACAAACTTTCCCAGCGGTTTGTCGGCCTTCTTGTCGAGCTTGCAGCATGGCAGAAAGTCGGACTCGCCGTAAGTAGCGAAGGCGTGAATCACGCCATCCAAATCCCATTTGGCGACGACAACGTCGGTCATCTTCTTGCGGGCCTGTCCACATACACCGCATGTGTGCCGACGGGACGTGTTCCAGACAGCTTCCCACACGTGCTGATGCGTGCACCGCCAAGCTCCGCGGTACCTTGGACCCGTCGCTAGGGCGCCAGAAGGCATGCTGTTGAGGTCATCCATCTCCAGTTGGCAGGGGATGAGGCCGTAGTGCTTGTGGGCCGGTATCCATTCGTTGAGTTCCGGAATGGTGTCGTTGTGTATGTCGAATGACTTGATGTCGAATGACTTGCCGCTCACAGTGGTGGCTTTTGTAGTCATCCTGGTACCTTGGTCTTCCAGGTGCTTCTTGATCTGCGTTGAGTAATCGGGGTGTATGCGCTTTTCTACGCTGGCGTTGTGGATCTCTCGCATGACGTTGCGCGCTTCTCGGTTTCGCTCATGCAATTTGGCCTGCCTCAGTTTGGTATCCCGCTGGATGCGTGCCATAAGTGACATTTTCGGTGGGGTCTTCGTAGAGGCAGCCACTTGGCTTGCGTGTGGTAGCATAGTTTCTGTGGTCCCTGTTTAATGGTCAGCTAAACTCTACATGTAGTGGGTAATCTTGTACCTCAGGGACAGTTGCTGTGTTAAGATCCAATGGTTAAGAAACTGGGTGGGGGAGAGGGTAGGTGGGAGAGAGTGGGTAAGTGAGAGAGAGTAGGAGGGAGAGTGCAAATAGCAGATGCGCGTTATATAAGCACGGTCCTCACCGCGCAGGCAGCAGGTGAGAGAGATTTAGAAGTCAAGGTGACCAGCGTTGATAAGCAGGCTTGTTACCGCCATGCACCGAGTCTTTAGCAGAACTAAGCTATCTTGAGTAATCATTTCACACGCATCCAGAAGGCGATGTCATCTGGCTTTGAGCCTTCTCGGAGCTCATCTGGCAGCGCACACCATATCACCGAGTAATCCTCTTCGCCCTGCAACTGTTCCAGCCTAATGCATGGTCGGTGTTTCTTGATGCACGTATCGCAGGCCAGTGTGCGGTCATCCCCAGCCTGCTTCCACGTGGAATTTCTGGCACCCTTTGCCGCGACAGCGTTGCTAACGCATGGGTGGGCCGACCAGGTACCGGGATTCCGGCTTACTGTCGCCCATTGCAACCTGCGCGTGCCCTGTGAATCGAGCAGTACATTAGTCATCGCGTTGGTGATCGCACTTGTTGTATCTTCTGAGATGCTGTTGTAGTTAACGTCGCCATGGCGGCTGTTGGCATCGCTCCGCGGGATGCGTAGAACCACTGGTAGATCAGTCTCGCCCAGCTGTCGTGGCTTGAGGGTTGGCTTGTTTGGCATTACCATCCGAGGGCGAGGGGGTCGAGGTGCTAGGTCTTGCTCTGGTGCTTCGGTAATCTGCTGGGGGGTTGTGTTGTCGGCTTGCTCGTGCATGACGCTGTCTGAAGCTTCAGTAATCTGCTGGGGGGTTGTGTTGTCGACTTGCTCGTGCATGACGCTCTCTGAAGCTTCGGTAATCTGCTGGGGGGTTGTGTTGTCGGCTTGCTCGTGCATGACGCTCTCGGACGCTTCAGTAATCCGCTGGAAGGGTGTGTCATCGTTGGCTTGCTCGTCCATGACGGCGTACGCCAGGTCTTCGTCCGGTGTGCACATCCAGTCTTCGGGAGACGGCAGATATTGCTCATCGTGCGGTTGAGTCATTAGGTCACTGTTTACGGTAAGCAGCTGCATTGTTGTATAACTGCACAACTTACTCTTCGTACTCGCCAAATGGGCCTGGACCACCCGCATTCTGCTCGCACACAGCTTCCTCCGGAGACAGAGGCGGAGCGTCGGTCATTGCTGTTTCGCTAGTCGTTCTGTCAGGCACAGAGGCGAAGTCGTCTGCTGTGCCGCTGCAGTCATTAAAGCGGAGGGACGACGTGCACAGAGGCGGGCCATCATCTGCTGCATACTGACCAAGAGGCGGTGGAGAGCTGTCGGTAATCATGGATTCGCTAGGAGGTAATCTGAGCCTTTCTTTCATCGCCATGTTTGCTTTGACTAGTGCAGGCATAACGTTCTCAAGGTAAGCGACACCCCGATTGGTGAGGTTCATGGCGGTGTCAAACTTGGTCCGGGTCTGTTGGGTCCTCCACGAACTCAAGGGGAGCCCAAACTCAGTCGGCGTGTTTAGCAGAGTCATCCATTCTGCCAGGGGATTGATGTCGATGGGTACTTCGGTAGGCTTCAGAGTTACTGGAGCTCGTGCAGTGAAGCTCGTATATGCAGTCTGGAGCCTTGTCTCCAACACCGCTGCAGACGGTTTCGGCTTCTTCTGCTTTTTGTTTTGTTGCGGGGTCATGATGACGAATGAGGAATGACGAATGAGTAATGAGGAACGAGGAATGAGAGATGAGGGATGAGGAATGAGGAATGATGGATGAGGAATCAGTGATGGTGGATGAGAAATCAGTGTGGGTGGATAAGCAGAACGTACGATATTGGGCCTCGCAGAATTTTACCCCGCCGCGATAGTGGTGACCGTCGTGCTTTCCATCCACGGCAATCGCGCCATCGCAGGAGGCGTGCTTTCCGTGTGCACCCATAAACCTGCAATCTGCGGGGTATGTCTTGTAGCAGTCTCTCACCATCCTCTGCCCGTTCCTGTCCGTGTCCCAGCAACACCCACCGCCAATAGCCAAAGATGGGATCCGTTCCATCCGTACTCTTCAACCTGGATGACCCCCAAGACTGCCAGCGTGCCGTCCGGCGCTTGAGAGCGCTGTCGGCGAGTGACGCGGCCAAAAACATAGAGCATCTTCCAGCCGATATAGCTCGGGCTCTGCTCGCTACTGCTCTGCACGATTACCACCGAATCGATCTCGCGGTCGCTGGCATGCCGGAAGACCACCAAGCCGCTGCCCCAGTCGCTGGTCGCCACGGTAAGTTGCAGATGGACTATGTTCGAGCGTGTGGGCTGACCAAATACAGCTTCCCAGGAAGATGACTTCGGTCCTGATCCTGATGAGGCGGGGTCTTCCCATCGACAGCGTTACCCATACACCGGCCGCTACCTGCTCGCTGGTTCGCTCACCGATAGCGAGTTCGGCACAGTTGATGCCGCTAGCTATCGGTCTGACTTGAACCCAAAGCGCAAGGCTGCTGGTGAGTCCATCCGCCGCAGGCACTGTCAGCGAGTTGAACTGACGCGTTACAGATGACTATGGCGATAAGAGTATCTACTCTGGCAAGAAGCCCCGGGTCAACAAGGAGGAGTAATGAGCCCAGCCAACCTAGGATGACTGACGTCCACAAGCGTGTCTAGTCTTCTGTCTGGCCACCCGGTCATTAATGCATGTTTCCATATTACCGTAGATCCAACCATGACGTTTGCTTGACTTTTCTTCAAATCTAAATGACGGTGACGGTGAAATTCGCGTATCTCGTTTGTGCCTGTGCGCGCGGTCGTTGTTGCCTTGCCAAGCCCTCGCTCTTTGTCCACCTTGCTCTTGCTATCCACCCTGCACTCAATTACCTCGTAACCACGACAATCAAGTCGCGAGAATGAGATCAACAAGCGCAACTTTGCCGTCGTCAGCGGTGCCACGAGGGCCCGTCCCAGACGAAGTCATTAGTGAGAAGACAGGTATGTTGATGGCTCGTTGCGCAAGACCAAGCTGACCTTGTTACAGAGGAACTCACACGAGAGCACGTGAAGAATCTCTCAAAAGATGACCGACACATGTCGATTCAGCTCTTCATAGAGGAGGCATCCGTGGTACGCGTTGAGGACGTCGCTGCCAGGAAGCTTCTAGAAGAGAAATGGCGCTTCGTTGTTCAGGATGACCAAAGTTTCGAGGGTAAGTCTTCTCGAGTCTTTCTGGAAGCGCATACTAATACAGTCAGTGCCGGACGAGATCCTGCGTACCCTCCAGGTCATTGTCGAGGCGAGACCATTGGAAGAATTACCCCTACCCGCTGCCTTTAGCAACGAGATGATCGGCCCTGTGCAGCCGCCACCCGACCTCGAGTTCAAGGCAACCAAACTCTGGACCAAGATATCGCGCACTGAGCTCGCGGCCTTCCATTCCTACATGCCCAGATGGGTAGATAACCAAGACCACAAGCGGAAGAAGCTCCACTTGCAAATGCAAGATTACTACACAAAGTGGATTACTCTGCGGCACCACGTCGCTGCCCTCGCCCGACAGACTGACACGCACCGCATGCAGACTACTATCCGGAACCAGCGCGACCACGCCCGCCGTCAGGATGACAGGATCAAGTTGCTAGAGGCCGAGCTGCTGCTCCGCGGAAGGCTGGCTGACGTCCTGTTCGCTCGCGTCAAGGACACGGATGACTGCGCCCGCACCAGGGAAGCTGGATTACTGAACGAACTGCAGCAGCATCGCCACGCAGAGGCGACCCAGCTCAAGAAGGAAGAGAAATCCCTTGAGAAAGCACAGGAGGTGCTGCAGGGTGGTTCTGATGACCTGAGCACGTTGGTCGAGGATGTCGTTACCCTGCGACAGGCGCGCACCCGGCTGAACCTTCAGCAGCAGCCCCCCAATGTCGACGATTACCCCCCTTCGCCGCTGAGCAAGGCCGACCTCGTTAGGCTCACGGAACAGGTGAAGAGCAAGCTTGAGGGTGTCGCGGTGGAAAAGTTGCAAGACATGGCCTTTCGAGCTGGGTATGCCAAGCGGGATGCCGAGCTGGTTAACTTCAGGGCTAGCCTGCGTCATCCTGAGGAAGAGAAGACCAGCGGGCAGTATGCCTTTACGCAGAATGACCTGAGACTCGCGATTGAGCTCAAGCGTAAGGAGATCCGAGATGACTTGACAACCCAGAACCACCGCCGGAAGTGGCTTGACGCCGAAGCACAGTTCGCCGTCAGCACCCACATCGCTATGGTAGCCACCGCCAACGATGACGAGTTCCCAAAGTCAAATTACAAGATCGTTACCGATCACGGTCGCTTCACAGAGAACCAGCCGTCTAAGCTCGCCGATCGCGTAGCCAACTTCGTCTTTGGTCGCGGCCTGCATCGGGAGCCGACTTCTAGGTGGTATCAGGTAGAGCGGATGACTCCCGACTGGTCACTGTTCTCTTTCCGTGCACACCCGCGCAACATCCAGGAGCGTGAAGGCGGCTACTTCCACCGTCTCGGAGTGCGATGCGAGCTGCTGAGGCTCGGCACCTCGTGGGTTGCAATTGGCTTCGAGCAGAACATGTGGGATGATGACGGAGACCGTGCAAATGGTAGGTGGATGGATGACCCAGGCTTTGTCGCTGAAGACGACGAGGAGTGATTACCGAGGAGTGATTACCGAGAGTAACGACGAGGAATAGTGTGGAGCTGAAGGCGATTACCAGTCAACGGATAGGTGGTTGCTCTGGTGGCCGAACAGTACAGTGGTGGTGCACATGTAGCATCATATCAAACATTCCCCAAACTCTTCCCAGTGTATCCCAATGTGTCCTACCTATACCAGTAAGTCGTGTAGCAGCCGTGGTGATGCAAGTGAATCATGGAACCGAACCGATTTGGCGCGTAGGTGTCTCGGCGTCCACCATGACCACCGCTACCACGGCAGCCCTGGAGGTTCACAGCAGAGGGCTTCCTTGATCACACCGTCGTGGGATTGCTACGTGATTGGTGTTGACACTTTGCAGTGCTGAACCAAGAGGGTGCGCCGATCTTCAAGGGGGCAAATGTTCAAGGGGGCAAATGTTCGAAGGGCGCGAGCGACATGCCGAGGCTGCCCGGTGGCAGACCCTGCCCAAGTGGCAACATCGCGCATACGGTACCCAGCCTTGCGACGGCTGCCGATTGCGCGCCACCACGCCTGCCCGACAATGACCATTCCACCCTGCCCCATGTGTGGTTGGCGGCATCTGCCATTCGAGGCACATGCGTTTCCACGACGCTGTCGAACTGACTCCCCTCTAGGATCCCTCCTTCGACCCTACCTCGACGTCTGCAACGCTTCCCACGCCGATCGCACGCGGTAATTCACGCAAAGACATGACGGCCCAGTATTGGATTACGAGCGCTCTCTGAAAGCTATCCAGGAATGTTCCTCGCGATAGAGCAGCTTGCGCGATGCAATTCCAGCCGGCGCGCACTTTTACACCGGGACGGGATTCGTGGCACTGGCTGCGAGGACACAAACATGCTCACGGTCAGCTCTACGTACCTGCAATCTCTTCATAGCCATCTGTGCCGTTGTGCTGGCTGGCTGCTGACTGCTGTACTGCTGTACTGCTGTGTTGTAAGCACCAGTAAGTCGTCCGGTTGTTGTCTGCTTCGCAGCAGGATCTAACGCGTGAACAGAGTTACAAAGGTTCCCATATTGACGTGACATGCTAAGAGGATGAATATGCTACGGGCTGTACGATACATAGAAGGAAATGACGTCTCCTTTCGCCTTGTTTATTGATCGAGCTTACATCACTGCCACATGTGCGTTTAGACAGATCGTCGGCCGAAGCCTTTGAAGTGGTAAGCCTGGTCTAGCATCGTCATCTTCCTTTTGAGGCCATTCCTAGTCATCACCGTCCTTGTGTTCAGTCGATCGAGCGGTCTTCTACCTGCAGGTTGCGCGATGGAAGGTGGAAACTGGCAGTGTCGTCTCTCCATAGTCTGGGCGGCAGTAGGCGGAGCTTGCTTTGGTGCCAGTTGCTCTACTTTGTGGTCCTTTCCATTCGGGTCTTCTGCAGTGTCGAGCAGATGGCTAGCGGCGATCTGAAGGGCCCGCGTATGCTCGGCGTGGGCAGCGGAAACGGCTACCAGTGACCTGAGCTCGTCCAGGCTGAGCCTTTGTAGGTACCGGCTTCTCGACGGTGAGGAGAGTTGCATCATGTCATCTCTTAGCGTTATGGCATTGCGCTCATCAAGACTTCGAATGGGATCTGCACGGGTCAGTATTCAGCCACTTAGCAATGTAGGAGGAGGCTCACCAGGCCTTGACAGCACTTGCACTGTATTCACCATGATGCGTAGCACTGACACGCGGCTGCCCCGGTCAGCATGGCTCAGCTTCGCAGTGAGTTCCTCCGTAAGAGCCTGCAGTCGGTCATCTGTCAGATTGGCAAGCAAGTGCTCCTGGTCCTCGACGGGGTAGCGCAACAGGCAGTCCGCGATGCCATCGACACTGTAGAGGTTTGCTTGGCTCGCCATCGTCCTTGCCGTATGCGCGAGCGGGTGGGGTGAGTTGTGGGACGATAGGACTCATCCAGCTGGAAGACGGCAGGCACGTCGCCAAGCCAAACAAAGGCTCGTCTGACCTTCGCTCCATTCGACCCTCCACCCTCCACCCTCATCACCACACTTTGAGCCAATGGCCACACCGCAGCAGGCTTCAATGGCAACACCTGGACCATATGCACTCCGCCATATGCTCACAATCCTGAAGACAGATTACCGGTCCAGCCTTAATGGCAATGCACGGGATGAGCAAGCACTGAAGTTGACCTTCCGTCGACTGACCCAACGCAAGCAGGCTTTGGAGGAAGCTGCAGACCGTCGAGGGGATACTGACCGCATTGTGGCGGAGGCTCTGTTGGCCTCACGCAGTACGCACAACTTCCACACACATTGCAGGCCTTTGCTAACCACTCGCAGAATCGGCTATCCAGTACAAGGAACGCCTAAAGACAACTCGCCATGACCTGAATGACCACAAAGGCCAAGTGCACGATCTAAAGGCTAAGAACGACGAGCTCCAAGACCAGCTGCTTCAAACCGACACCGCCAGAACCACATCAGCGCAAGAGATTACAGATAAAAGCAACACAATAACCACTTTAACCAACGCGAACGATGACCTCAAAGCCCAGTTGCGTCAAGCCGATACCGACCAAACGACATTGCGTGAAGAGCTCGCGGTTGAACGCAACAAGATTACCGACTTGACGAATACGAGAGGTGACCTCCAACAAGAACTGCGTCAAGCCGATGACAACGATACGACACTGCGTGAAGAGCTCACAGTTAAACGCAACAAGATTACCGACTTGACGAATACGAGGAATGACCTCCAGATCAAGCTGGATCAAGCCGATGACAACAATACGACATTGCGTGAAGAGCTCACAGTTGAACGCAACAGGATTACCGACTTGACGAATACGAGGAATGACCTCCAGATCAAGCTGGATCAAGCCACCAAGACTGCCGAGACAAACCAGGCAGCCCTAGTCCAAGAGCAAAATACGGTATCCGCCTTGAGGGCCGGGTTGAAGACCACCCAGGACGTACTCCAGATCAAGCTGGATGAAGCCACCAAGACTGCCGAGACAAACCAGGCAACACTGCGCCGAGAGCAGACGAAGGTTACCGGCTTGACGACCGCCCAGGACAAACTTCAGATCAAGCTGGATCAAGCCGCCGAGACCATCAAGACTGACCAGGCAACACTGCACCGAGAGCAGCAAAAGGTCGCCGATCTGAAGACTACCCAGGACAAACTTCAGATCAAGCTGGATCAAGCCGCCGAGACCACCAAGACTGACCAGGCAACACTGCACCAAGAGCAGCAGAAGGTCGCCGATCTGAAGACCACCCAGGACAGACTCCAGGCAAGGCTGGACGAAAAGGCTGCGGCTGTCGTCGACGAACAGAAGAAAGTCACCGATCTGAAGTCCGCCCAGGATGAACTTCGAGAGCGGGTGAGTGAGCTCGATTGCAACCTTACCACTGCTCGAGGCGAACTCAACAAGGCGACGACGCTTGCACAAGATGCCAATCTACATACAACCACTACGGAGGACACATACAAGCGCATTCTCGAGGAACATTGCGACAAGATCAAGACATTAACGGATGACTACAACAAGCTTCGAGAGAAGAATGACAGCCTAGACAAATCAAGCGCGCAGCTTCGCGACGACCTCGTGGCAAGTCAGGGAGTATACCAAGCTGCAGTCTCGCGGTCCAACAGGCTACGCGGCCAGGTCGACGAGCTTGTCGCCAGTCAGAAGTCAGCCGGCGAGCAGCTGGAGGCATTCTTGATGCAGAATGATGACCGGATCCACCAACAGGCCCAGGCAGCCTCCAACACCGCTAAAGCCCTGAGAACCCGCATCAATGCCATGAAGAAGACTCATCGACTGCAGATGGCCACCCAGCGCAGACAACTGCGGTTATCGACTGATCGGAACCAGAGTCAACAGAATGCCTTGGCTACAATGACCCGGGCTGCAGTTCTCCAGGCTCAGCGACATAGCGACCTGTTGTCAAGAAATACCAGCCTTGTGACCTGGTGTTGCGCTTTCGCTCGGCAGATAGCACTACTCAAGCGCACCTTTCGATCTGTATCCAGCGATTACCAATGGATTCGGACTGCCCGCCAAAAGCTTTCCACCAAGTATGACGCCCTCGTCGGTCGGCACACGAAGATGCTGAAGACAGCACTTGGTCACATGGATGAGATCAAGGCAGCTAAGGCTCGCAACCGTACCCTCACTGCTGCCATCAAGACAGCTAGGTCTCGGAGAGATGACATCACTTCCACCAACAAGATGCTTGTGGCTTGGAATGTGAAATTTGCAGGCCGCATCGCGCTACTAAGCTCCACTTTGGGCCAGGTAGCTGATGACTACACTCGATTACTCGGTTCCCGTCGAGGCTTGCTTTTGCAAGTGCAGCAACAAGCAACTGAGATTGACACGGTCAATGGCATTAGCCATGTGCTCAGGGCCTTTTGTCGGACCCAACGGGACAAGATTACCGTGCTTCGCTCAACTGTCGGCAACGTCTTATTCTCCCATCTGAGCCTGACCGCAACTGCACAGAGGCAGAAGAGCCGGATCGATGACCTCACTGGGCTTAACCAGATGCTTGCAGGATCGACCGTTCAGCTCGGGCGGCAGATTGCGCTTCTACGCACAACGCTCCACGACATCGCCAAAAGCTCCAGCCTTGGCACGGATTACCGCCGTCACATGCAGAATAGGGTGCAGCGTCTGGATTACCGCATCGAGACGTTGGAGACTCAGAACACGAGGCTGGAATTCCGCAACGCGGGCCTCGTCGACATGAACGCGACTCTGGCGCATTGGAACGTCACGTTCGCTCGCAAGATCTACCTCCTCCATGGGACCATTGATGACCTCTCAGGGAATTACACACGGCTAAGGAAAGCTCGTCGCGGACTCTACATCAGACTTTGCGTAGTAAAGTTCCTGTTCGATGGGTTCATCCACGCCGCCTTCCATGCACTTGGCGCCCAGAGGCCTCAGTCACCAGCACCTTCCGTCACGGATGGAAACCTCGCACAGGCGTATGCACGATATCATGCAACCCTCGTCTCACTTGCAACGCAAACACGCAGGCTGTTGTGGTCATGGAGACGCAGCGCGGAAGGGCTCGACGACAGCCTGCGCTCTGAGCAGCAGATGACTGTGAACCTTCGACACGAGGTCTCCCAGCTGCAGGAACGCGTTCAGCTGTTGGAGGTTGTTGGCAACGCTGTCGTGCAGCGACGCTGCGAAGATGTAAGCAAATTTCAGCTGGCAGTCAAGACTGATCGCGATTACATCGTCCAGCTGGAGACGAAGATGACTGTACTTCGTGCAATAGGAGAGAGGATAGACGCCTCGGTAGATTACCTTCTGTCAGTTACTGGAGCGGAGGCCCTAGAAGCGTGATGGGTTGGACGGTCGCACATATGGCATTAGCATAGTTCCATTTCAAGGCCATGTATCGTGCATAACTTGCAAAATGAAGCTTCTTTCTGTATGCGTCATGACGGTGACGTGAGACTGGCAGTCGCGACCCGGGTTGGTTGGACTAGCACCTCCAACCGCCGCCCATGGCCACTCCACACCACACCACTCCACTCCACTCACTCTACCCCTCTCACGATGACCGGAAACACAAAGGTCACATACAGCGGGAAACAAAGGCGGGCTACAGGGGCTGCGCGCCCGTCATCTCCGCTCGCTGGTCCCTCTCGTGCAAGCACGGAGACTCAGTCCCATTACTTTCCATCGAGCCCCCCACGTGGCCGCGATGACTTCAGCCGCGCCAGAATCAACCAGAGGGAGGTCGAACAGCTGCAGCTCGACGCAGGCCAAGTCCCCACGACCGTCCTTCCTATCCCCGTTGATCGGCAAGATAAAGCAAGAGACAACGCACGACGACCTCGTTTCGACTACGGTGCGGAGCTGAAGAAGGGTCTTACATTCGTTGCCGCAGCAGCGTATGCTGAGGAACTCGCCGATTACCATGCGGTTGCAAGGAGCATGAACGAGTCGGACTTCCGGGTCGCCGCTGTATATGTACGTACTCTGTCTTTCGGACAGCACCACACGCTAACACTATCCAGCTCATGGCATCCATACCCGCCGCCCTCCTGGAGGCTATAGTCGGCGGTAACCTCTGCATCGCTGCCCGGTCAAACGATGACATTGACAATCTCCTCTACGACTCAAAGTCGATGTGGCACATCCGAGCAAACGACAAGAACGCACCAGGGATCTATATCCGATTTCTTGTCGACAAGGACGGCAACGCACCCACACCCAACCAATACCTCCGGGTAGCCAAGAGACTTCGGGACTATGTCTCTGGCGATGACCAATCCTTTGAGGCGGCAGCAAGCCTGGATAACATAAAGGGAACGACCAAGGCCTCTGGGCGGGATATCAGCAAAGGTCATTACCGCTTTCTCAATGGCTCCGAGCAGAGAGTCATGCAGATACTGACCTGGTGCACCGCACTCGAGGACCGCATTCATGAGCTTCCTGCGGATGAACTTGATACGCCTATGCAGCGGCCATGCACCTACGTCGGATATTCTGTGTCGGTCTCACAGCGTCTGCACGAACACGACGAGGGAGGCACCAGTTGGTTCCAGCACATGGTGCAGGCCGCGTTCCAGGCAGAGGTCGATTACCCACTGTTCAGCTTCGAGGGCCATGCAGTCTGCTTCCTGCAGGAGAGCGAGGCACCAGTCGCCGAAGTTCTCATCAGTGTGATTACCGACAGCATGATCGAGACTGGTGGCGGCTTCGGCGTTTACCAAGCAGGGATTCAGACAACGAGCGCATTGCTTGGGCACCTCCCCACCCGTGAATGGCCTGGTGTTTGGAAGGCATGCGCGCGATGGCGGGAAGATCAAAACCACAGCGACGGGAACCTGTTTCGGGAGCGCGCACTGCTGGAAGCGCACCACGCAAATCCTACAGCCGCGTCCAATCAGGTAAGCCAGAGCGCAGATGCCATCCGGCGAGACATTACCGCGCTCGAGGCAGATATCACGAGGCTGCAGCGTGACGCTGATGACTACGATGGCGAGGCCGCGCCAGAAGACGACCTCGATGACAAAATTCAAGAGCTAGAAGATGCCATGAACGCCGACGATCCTGATTCTGACGATGACTCCGAAGCTCGCCAGTCTTCCAGGGCGGTGGTGGAGATGCTGAGGCGAAGGCAGGCAGCGAGGACGGCATAGCGAGGCGGTCAGAATGGGTAAAAGACTAGAAGTGGAATTTGCACTGCACCAGGCACTGTGCGATGGTAGATCTGCGATGACCCAACAACAACCCTTAGATAGCTTGGCAAGTTTCCTAATTGGGCAAGTTCCCAAAAACCATTGATTGCTTATGCTTGATGACCACAGTAACTCGTGGCCTACCTTGACGCGTCTGCCATCGGAGACTGGCATGCAGGACCCAATTCCATGTATTCCCTTCTAAAGTCGCCAGGACGAGGTTCAATACAGGAAAGGCGCAGTCGCAACAGGCGGAACCGTGACGAGTGTCTTGAGAGGTAGAGGTTCTTGGAGATGCGATACTTCTCTCTTTCGTATTCGTATGAAATGCGGGAGGTGTGGTTTGCTCGTCGTCTCATGTGCTTTGTATGTTACCGATGCCGTACGAGAAGCACGCTCGCCGAACGTATGTAGCGATATGTCTAAATCAGTCAGCGTAGATAGCCATCGCCAATATTGCGGACTCGACATCTTTCGGCCAGGTCTCCCACCCGCAACAATAACCTTACGCGAGTACACTCTCCAGCGCCACATTTCCGACGCGTGAGATAACAAAATGGAAGATATTGCGCTCTTGGGTCAGCCGTTCTATTCATTCGCGATGGATATTGAAAGTTAGAGAGTGTTTGGTCGCAAGGGTCTTCAGCAGTACCATGGGATCCAAGTGCGGTGCGGCCATCTTCCGACCCACAACTGCCGAAAGCCACATACACGTATCCAATCAGGTCCTCTCAAGAAGAAGTATCGTCGACACAAGAGCTAGGAGTGGAGGTGACGATACTAGGGTACAGTTTCCCGCCAAGCGGTGTAGGCAACATTGGGATAGCGACAACATGGAGATACAGACGTAGCCACGGGACGTCCTCGCGTAGCACTTCAAGGACAAAGCAAAAGAGGCACGATATTCACGTAGACTATAGCGGTTATACGAACTTTTCCGCCTCAGGGCGAGTCACGATACCTTGGAATTCACTCGATTCACAGACGCTACGAGCGCGCCACACGACCCCCGCAATCCGTCGTGATCTCTCACAACGGCACTCTTCTAATGAATGATATGATAGTCGTCAGACTCATGCGGGACTATGACGGTGCTCAAAGTCAAAAGCTCAGTGTAGTCGCTGGAAATGCCGCGGTTTACCTGACTACAGCGCGGCAGACTACGACCAGACCTTTGGCAATATCAACTTTGACGGCCTCTGCAGGGCACATTTGCTGCCCAGATAGCCTTCCAAGGTTACATGCTGCGCTTTATTAACCACCTCACTAGACGCGCCCGCAGACACGATTATTGGCGATGAAAGTTGCCCCCAGCCCGACCCGAACAACCAGTAATGCCCTCCCCCATAGCTTTTACACTGCTGTTTCTCACCGTATAGATATGTTTGGCTTGCTATGACTGACTTCGAAGAATAGATTGACTTTTAAAGCTCACCGGTAGTGAGTCGCCAACTACGATGCTGGTGTCTTTTCGCTCCGCAAGCTAGCACGCTACTACAAGACGGTGGCGTGTTTCGTCACCCTGGAAGACCTCGACCTTGCGATCGTGCAGTCTCGACATATATGATGGGGGATGCTGGCCGAGTCAATAATTCACTAACAGTCGTCGGCCTATTTGCTTGAGCGACACAGGCGACGTTCTTGCTACCAGCCCAGCATTGCCCGGAGTAGAGACGTGTCTTTGCGGTCTCGCCGACCACACACAGCGTAGGCAATGTTGCCGCTGAACATAACGGTCATGAGAGGCATCCGGAGGCCTTCCTCGTCCCTTCGACATGTATTTGAATCCCGAACAGGTCTGCGAGGTAGAGCGCCAACGCTATAAACCCTCGGCGGTACCCACAAGAATGCCCACTGGGAATTTACATAAGGCGTTGGATCAGTATCGCAAACATCGTCATGAGTCAAGACAAGAATGTAAATCAAGAGAGGATGACGACACTATTTTATTCAGTAATCGAGCTACGTACTTGTTCCTTGTCCCGCCCATCTCTCAGCGACATTTGTCTGTCCAGATGTACGTAAGTTGTCTCTACTCCTCTCAAAAACCATCATCAGTGTCTGTGTGGACTGAGGCCGCCCCTTCCTTACGAGTCATCTCGACACCAGCGGGCTGAGGGTCCCCATGGGTAATCTCAGGAATCTCGGCGGTAGCGCGCTCCATATCGACCTCAGTCATCGCGGCAACAGCAGGATTGGTAATCATCTGAGCTTCTGCCCATGCTTCGGTTAGTGTCATCTCCGGACCTGGTGCCTTGTCTGAGAATGAGCCGTCCTCGTTGAGCATGCGATGCTTCCGGGGCTGCTCTGCCTTGGCATGAAAGTCGACGTCATTACCGGGGTTCATTGACTCCATGTTTGCCACAGTTGGCACCATTGGTTTGGTAGCTAGCCTCTTCCTGGTGTTGCCTGTCTTCTGCACCGTCTTGTTGATGGTGTCTTGAGACGAAGTAATCGAAGCTGCAGGCTGTGCGCGTGGGGTCATCCTGGGAATAGTAGACGTCGCGGTAGGTTGCGCTGCAGTAATCATCGCTAGAGCAAGCTTTCGAGCAGCCGGGTTCTTCTGCGTCTTGAGCTGCTCCAGCGTCTTGCTGGCCACAGAAGGGATACTTGGGGTAATCGTGGCCCGCGAGAGCGCTGCGACGGCGTCGTCCCATGCCTGGTTGTGTCGTAGCTCATCCCAGACCTGAAACAGGTCGCCAAGGATGCTCGACTTGAGCGCGGTCATATTGACGTGGTCGTACTTCATAAGGCCGGTCGGCATGACGTCGTCCCTCTGCTCGTCGCTGATGCTAGCAGTAATCTGCCCAATGGGCCGCTTTCCGACCTTGGGGGTTTCTCCATGACGATACTTTGGATATTGCGCGAGAAAATGCTTGGTGAGGTTGTATATCAGCTTCTTGCCGAGTGGTCCCAGCGTCAGATAAAATGCGATATGGATTGTGGTAGGCGGCAGGTGCTGGAACCAGCAGTCTGCGTTCTCGCATCCGTCGGGTGTCATCAATGCTCTCATGCACATCTTGTCGTCGGCGACCTGCTGGTGCAGGCCGTAGTTCCGGGAGCTGTAGGAACCATTGTACTTGATAAGCGGGAAGCTTTGACGAAGGTCATCGGGTATGTCATCGAAAGCCAGCGGAACTGGTACGTCGCGCGGGATCACCGCTCCTGGTAACACGCTGTCGACCCAGGCCTCTGGCGAGCCGGTAATCTTGATACTCTCGTAGCGGAGCTTCGGGTACAGATCTAGAATGACTGGCTCGTCATTGACGGTGTACGTCGCCTTGTCATCCTCAGAGGTGCTGTACGGTTGCTCAAGAGAGTCATAAAAAACTTGGGTAAGCCCGTTCTCGCTGCAGCTGCTGGTATCGCTTTTTGCTTCTCGGTCATCGACCCGGAGGACGGGCAGGTCGCTGATAAAGATGGTTAGCAGAGCTTCAGTGTAGCGTGCCGAGTAGTACTTACGTCATGCTGCGAGAGGCTTCGGCAGTCATTGCGCTGTAACGACGTGGGCGACTGACTATCGTGGAGTGCGGGTGTTGTTGCCCAGGTAGTGAGCGATACAAAAAGGTGAGAGATACAAAATAGGCAGCAGCATTGTGGGGCAACGCGCGGACCACCTCTACATGGTGCAGTTTGCGGCTGGCCTTTCGGCTTCACTTGCATTTAGATGGCTACGTGAATGAGGATATATTGGAGAATCGTTGTCATTAAAGAACGCAACTGTGCAGACATGATTCGCGTGAGTAGAGGTCTGCCTAGGTGCCTTGCCAGCCTCATCTTGGTCATCAAAGACTGCTCTATGTCTTGTTATCTGTGGAGAGCCATGCCTCTAGATCCCGCCGTGCTCGGCGAAGACGCAGCTCTGCCGCTTCTGCGTAGGTCCTCGCGGCATCCACTCGCATCTTCGCAGCCTCAGACTTGTGCACTTCAGCCTGTGCCACTAGAGCCGCTGACTGTGCCTCCAGCTCTGCGGCCTGGGTCATTTTCGATGCAGCGCCTGCGTCCAGTTCATGTAATTGGAATGTAATCCACAGGTTGCGTAGGTCAGGAAGGAGGTCATTCTCGTTTATATCAGACAGCTGCGCGATCAAGTCTCTTCCGCGATCTGTATACATTAGATAAGGCTCGCCAGACGACTGGATAACCCACCATTCCTCACTTCAGAAGGGAGTCTCTCGTACGAGACATCACTCCAGGTGTCACTTTTGACTTTTTGGCCTCCACAGGGTGGTGTTTGGTCATCCCGTTCCATTTCGGTGTCAGTAGGAGGGGATTCAAGGCGCACGAGAAGGTTGTCACTTGGATTGAATCGCCGGGATCGCATGTCCCGAGGTCAGTACACTGAGATGTTTGCCGCCGACAGCGCTCGGTCAGCTCACATGAAGTGAGAGCTTCACATTAAGCAGGAACGCTGGTCACGCTCGAATTACCCCGCATTCCAGAATACAGCTAGCGCATTTGGAAATCCTAGGTGAGAGAGGATTTTCGGCGTCCACATCCGTGCGCCTGGAGCCTGGTATAGTGAAGTCCGCACCAGCAAGCTCCTCACACTCTCCTCACACTCTCCTCACACTTACACCCACCTTACACCATACCAACTGCGGAATGACCGCCAACAACGACACTAGGTGGGCAGAGGCACTGCGAGGGCTCTCGACAGCCTTCAATGACCTCCGCCTCGCCGAACCTGAACTCAACGAGCGCATCGCCGCAAATCAGGCGGAGATTACCGAGAGCTACGGCCTTTGGCAGTCAAAGCATGCCGCAGTGCACGGCGCCACGTACGATCAAGGTCTAGCCGAGCTCGTGGATTACTTGCAGAACGAGCGGCCCCAAGACATGTACTTACAAGGGATGGTGACAGAATACCTGGTAGAGGGAGTGCAGTTGCCCATTCGTGCGCTCGTCTGCCAACAGCGGGTTCGAGCTGCCCTCGAGGCAAAGCTCGCCTGTCTCGAGCGCCTTCTACCATTCATGGAGGTCATCACCGCCAAGTCCAATGACCCTCCCGCGACTACTAGTCAGGCTTCTCCCGCCACTTCTAGTCAGGCTCCTCCCTCAACTACTAGTCAGCCGCCTGCAAAGAAACAGAAGTCAACTGTGTCTGGAGGAACTGCTAGCGTGATTACCCCACCATCCAAGAACAAGTTACCAGCATGGGCGTCGCAGCCGCAACCATACCCGAACCATGCGTCTGTAGATTCACCTGAGAACGAACCGACAACCCCACTACAGCAATCTCTAGCCGGGCTAACGCAGCGACCACAATCACTGCCGATTACTCCTTCCGCACCCAGTCTTGGAGGTCCAGTCCCACCGCATCCACCGCAGCTACCGCAGATTACCTTGCCTACACCTAATGTTGAGGGCTCAACTCCGGCGTTGCCACCACCCACAAGAAACGAGATTACCTTCAAAGTCCCGGAGCAAACACTCCTTGAGCACTTCGACCGACTCACGGAAGAAATGGGCGCAATGCCTGAGGTTCTTAGAGATGCGATACTTCTCTCTTCGTAGAGTATCTCCTCGCGTATAAGTCGTATAGAATGCGGGAGGTGTAGTTAGCTTGTCGTCTCTAGGTCGCCTCTAGGTTATCGCAGTACTGTAGGATAGCGATGCTGAACTATAGGCTTTAAATTCTGCGCACACAGCGATAAGTTAAAGGGGGGAGTATATAAAGCGCACTGCAGTGTCTTCGTTGCTTCTACAACACACACATTATGCTGCTTACACTCTTCTCCTTCGCGATAGTAATTATCCTTACAATTATCTACCTTAACGTCTACGCTCGCCTAGCCTACCCTACAACCTCGCGTCTCGCTAGCGAGCTTATCACAAGGACACTTAGTGTCTATTAGCAACCTTGCCTATTACCCTTAGCTTAAAAGATGCAAAATACAAAGTTGTACTTGCTCTTCCTAAGCACTTAGATAGGTATGTGCGATGCTTATTTATTAGATGTGCTGCTTACTTATGTAGGGATAACTTTAGCAGCTAGAGCCTTCCTTCTAGCTAAGAGATTAGCTATATAAGGCCTGCTCCTTCGCCTTTAACAACACGCCTACGTACCTACTCTAGCAGAGACTGCCTTTATAGGCTAGATTAGCTTTTGTAGCAACAACAAACAACATGCAAGAACTAATATTATCCTTGCACCTTACGGTCTGCGAGTCTTAATACAGTATAAGGTTTAAGCTACTTAGGCTGTCTTAAGACAGCAGAAACTAGCATGTAGAAGGTGACATTACTTAGCATAGAAACTAGAATTAAGCAATAAATTGTATTTTAGAACAAATTTAACGTATTTGATCGTATAGGGCCGAAGCGCGCAATGCCTGAGTTTCTTAGAGTCGACAGGGCCCGATTCACAGACCCGGCAGGACTCCCTTGGGCGTACTTTTCCCGATTCGTGTCACGACTACCCTCCCGCAATTACCACCGCGACACCTACTGCTATTCTACAGCGGTATGGATGTATCTCAAGCGCAACCACATCACTTTCGAAAACCAAGTTGTCAGCCCTTTCTATTTCCAGCAGGCGCAGCAGGCATTTGACGAGGCGGAAACCGAGTCGCAGGAGGTATCGGCAGATGACAGAGACGACAAGCATCGAAAGACATTGGTGCAGCAAGTGCACGCCGCGATGGTACTCGTCCAGAAGCAGAACGCTGATGACCACACGGAAAAAGAGCTTGGTTACCGGCTGAAGAACGCGACCAATTTGTACTTGCAGGTCCACGAGAACGACATTCGCTACAGATCTGGTATTCGGGATGACGATGTTCTCAAAGAGATGCTGAAGGACATTCCTAGTGTGCTTGCTTTGAGGATTGTCGACGAGCCCGCCGAGGCAGTGGCTGAGTGGTGGAATGACAAGGGCCAGTACAGTGAACTCGACGTCATCCCGTTGACCATGTGGTCCGCCTTCGCACAGGTGCACCGAGTGGTGGAAGATCGTGTGCAAAGGGCGCGGCTGTTGGTTGTTGGCAAAACCCACCAATCCGCAACATTCACGGCTGTTGCTCAGGTCTACCAGAAGTCGGAGCTGAACCTCAAGCCGCTTTTCAAGGCAGGCAACAAAGCGGATGACCCCATTTCTCTTGATGACTAGATAGAGATGGCGACGTGGAGGAGATTACTGGGAACTATCATGGAAGCGTCCTCACTGAGTACAGATTACCGTGGAGGAGAACTGGTTGGGAACTATCTTGGAAGCGCCTTCATTAGGTGCAGATTACCGTGGAGGAGATACCTGACTGGGGGACCATCACGGGCATTATTCAGGGCAGATTACCGTAGCAGAAAATACATGAACACATTTCTGCGTTTACTCGAATATACTATAGCATGATCAATTTGCTGACGCTATTGGGTCTTGATTCGCACCAGGTCCAGCGTCATCAGCGTAGCCAACGCCGCATCATTCAGCGAAGCTGCTTTTTCTCCCGGCTGGGTCATTGCCTTACTGGCACCTGGGGTCTGCGCATCGGCGTGCCAGGCGATTGCGCGCTCCCAGTCATCCCAGCACAAGAGGTGGCAGTTGTCATCAAATGTTGGGGATCTTTGTCGCGCCCACATCACCGCCGTTGGCAGCAGCACAACCATTGCGCGCTGTTGAGGTACTGTCAGTCTCTGGAGCATGACCTGGCTCGTAAGCCAGATCGTGCTGGGCGTGTGATGGGAGGCGTGGTTGTCCTCTGCCGCGCCACTGACAGCCACCAAGCCGTCTCCTCCGCCGCTGTCCACCGACCCTGCTGGTGTTTGAGCAGCATCCTCGACCTGCTGACCCGGTCTGAACCTATCAAGCCAGGGCGTGAGCGCATTGCACAGTGGTGTCATCACTTCTGGGCCAAACGTGAGAGGTCCATCGTCAGCGCCAGGCGCCAATTCGTCCAGGCGCCGCTGCACTTCGTCCGTGGTAATCCTGGCTTGGCTGTCGACCCCGGGCATCAACCGATCTCGGTATCGGCGGAGCGCGTCGGGCAGCAGTTTGTATGTACGGTCGTCCGTGTCGAAGAGCTCAACGTGGCTGTCATCGATGAAGTTAAACATGAACAAGGCATGGTCCCGCAGCATCGATATGCCGGTCTGCGTCTCGCGCTCCGCAAGCTCCAGGTCTTCAGATTGGTGATAGCCAAGCATACGCGCGTTATCGAGACGGTAATGTATGTTGCTGGCCATCAGCAGGCTGCTGTTCAGTATCGATCTTATCTGGCTGACCGATACGAGCTTTAGGTACAGATAGTCGCTGTGGTAATCCCCTCCCGGTTTGTGATGTTCCGACATTAACCACCTGAGCTTTCTTGCGGCGACAGAGGTAGACTTGTAGGAGCTGATAGGGTCATCGTCTTTGTCGGCGCCGGTGTCCTCTTCCAGCTCGCTGGCGACGTCTGCATGGGGTAACAGGTAATCGGAGATGTCTGCGCCGGGGCGAGACAAGTTGGCATCGAGAGAATCGTCAACTCGAACGTCTGGAGTGTCGCTAGCCATTTTGTGACCCGAACGATCGTCTTTGGAAGGTCAGCGATGGTGGCGGCGCGAGGTTGAAAGAGTCAGAGGTAGAAGGGTGCCGGCCCAGATGAGTGTAAAGCTGACGAATGGAAGGATCTGATGGGACCTGACTACATAGATCAGTACTGACCCAGAAGCACCTACCCATCGTGTGGTCGCTCCTTCAACATCAGGAAGGAGCGTTCAGAGCATCCAGCACGTGGATACCCACTCCGGCAAGAGTTGCAACTCAGAGACTGCCATTACGCTCGACTTGGTCAAATACGAGGATCTACAAGCCATATGCGAAGAGATCAAACGGGCACGTTCGTGGTTGTCGATAGTGTCTCCTTCCGCAACTGAACTGCTAGCAGAACCGTACGGTTGAGAGCCAGACAACGTTGAAGCAGGCTCAGGGCGAGGGGAAGCTCTTTCCCGAAGGTGCCTGGAGGTTTTGCGATACCACCAGTCAGCGAGAAGGCTACTGCCACTCCATAAAAGGACAAACTTGTCTTATGGTTCAGTGCATGTTCTTTGTTGCATCGCGACCTCGGAGTTCGCAGCCCGCACAGTCGGACCTTCTTGTCCGACGATTGACGAGACTGCCGTACCTGCCCACTCAGCGCCCTGTCGCGTGGACCTACTGCATCGGGATTTTGCGACGACACGCACAGCTTCGATGAATAGACGATGGAAGAACAGTGCAGCGTCCAAAGATGGTAGCTGTCATGCATGCGGTGCATCGTGCCCAGAGGACAAGGTGCGTGGAGAAGTGGGGCAGACTAACCGTGAGAGGCGCGATAGTCCCGCGGCCTCTTCTTATCGTGTTGATAACAACGTTCAAGACTCTGAGTTGACAGATGGGAATAATACAATGCGTTAATGACTTGACTGATTCGCCAATAGGCCGTGATCCGATTCGAAGAAAGATATTTGAGATCGCGCTGCGATGCCGTTAGACCGTTGATCTGACTCCAGTATATAAGACCCCGCTGGACCCTGACAGCTTTGAGGGATCAACCTTATCCGACCACCCTCACAACCTATTCATACTATGGCACTCGACCGATTGAAGCAAGCAGCCTCGCACATTACGGGTGTTGGAGAGCCACCACACCCATTTGATCCTTTGAGCGAGTCGGAGATTGAACGCGCAGTCGCTATCATCCGGAAAGAGCACAGCGATGTGTTCTTCAACGCCATCATCTTGTTGGAGCCGCGTAAAGCGGAGATGATGAGCTGGGTGAAAGATCCCGAGCACACTCCACGACCACATCGAGTCGCTGATGTAGTCTGCATTGGTCGAGGCAGCAAAGTGTATGACGGACACGCAGATTTGACTGAAGGCAAGATCATCAGCTGGGCGCTGACTGATGATGTGCAGCCACTTGTACGTTAGAGAGTGTGTGAGTGCGTTTTACATCCTGCTGACTTGGATCTAGATTACAATGGAAGACCTGCAAATTGTCGAGACGATTGTGCGGAAAGACCCAAAGGTCATCGAACAATGCGGTCTGATTGGCATTCCACCAGAGGACATGCACAAAGTGTACTGCGATCCCTGGACGATTGGTTACGACGAGCGTTTTGGAACTAAAGTTCGTCTTCAGCAGGCGCTCATGTACTATCGCCCACACCCCGATGACTGCCAATACACGTATCCATTGGATTTCTGCCCAATCTACAACTCGGACACTCAAGAGATCATTCATATCGATGTCCCACCTGTTCGGCGACCACTCAACCAGGCCCCACCAAACAACTATCACGCGGCTGCGATTGAGGCTGAGGGTGGGTTCAAGACCGATCTGAAGCCCATCAACATAACACAGCCAGAAGGCGTCTCTTTTAAATTGGACGGCAGATACATCAGCTGGGCGAACTGGAAGTTCCACATTGGCTTCAACTACCGCGAAGGCTTGGTTCTGTCAAACATCACATTTGACGACAAGGGCACTGTTCGCGATACGTTCTGGCGCCTATCGCTCGCAGAGATGGTCGTACCTTATGGCAACCCAGAACACCCACATCAGCGTAAGCACGCTTTCGATCTGGGAGAATACGGTGGTGGCTACATGACCAACTCACTTAGCCTGGGCTGTGACTGCAAGGGCGCAATTCACTACATGGACGCTGCCTTTGTCAACCGCGCCGGACAGGCTACAACGATCAAGAATGCTATCTGCATTCATGAGGAAGATGCCGGTATCCTGTTCAAGCACACAGATTTCCGCGATGACAGTGTTACGGTTACTCGTGCTCGCAAACTTATCATCTCGCAAATCTTCACAGCTGCAAACTACGAGTACTGCGTATACTGGATCTTCCATCTTGACGGAACCATCCAGCTGGAGATCAAATTAACCGGTATCTTGAACACGTACGCGATGCTCCCAGGCGAAGATCTGAAGGGCTGGGGAACTGAGGTGTACCCTGGAGTGAACGCGCACAACCACCAACATCTCTTTTGCATGCGCATTGATCCCAACATTGATGGACCAGAGAACACCGTTTTCATGGTCGATGCGATGCGTGGCGAAGGCGAAGTTGGCAGTGCAGAGAACAAGTACGGCAACGCTTTCTACGCGAAGAAGACGAAGCTCAGCACCCCTGAGCAGGCGGCAACGGACTATAATGGCGGAACGAGCAGAACATGGGAGATGGCCAATACAAACAAGCTCAACCCATTTAGCAAGAAGCCAGCTTCCTACAAACTGGTCAGCAGGGAAGTGCCCGATCTACTACCCAAGCCTGGAAGTTTGGTATGGAAGCGCGCCGGTTTCGCAAGGCATGCGGTACATGTCACAAAATGTGAGTTTCACCAGAGAATTACGTACGAAGCCCTTGACTGACCTACAATAGACGACGACACACAACTCCACCCAGCAGGCCGTCACGTTCCGCAAACATCTGGCGAGCCATCCCAAGGCATACCCGCCTGGATCGAAGCCAACCCCAACGAGAACCTCGACAACACCGACGTCGTGCTATGGCACACATTCGGCATCACGCATTTCCCTTCACCGGAAGACTTTCCGATTATGCCTGCTGAGCCCATGACGCTGTTATTGCGACCACGCAACTTCTTCACACGTAATCCTTGTATGGATATTCCGCCTAGCTATTGCAGTGTTCCGAGTGGTGTTAAGCAGGGGAGTACGCTTGTGGATAAGTTGAGTCGTATGGCGTTTGGTGAGGAGAAGAAGCCTGAGAGTGCGGCGTCGGCGACTTGTTGCTCGGACCAGAAGTTTGGCGCGGGCGTATAAAAGAGGTGCGGCATGTATGTTTAGTGTGTTCATAATAGAGAGTTTTCTTCAGGGAAGTGATCATCAGAGCTTTCTACCTTTGTGAATGTGCCACCCAGGCAGACCATCGCGACATGCTGCATTGCTCACAGTGCTGGCCACGTGCGGTGACGTAGTCCCACGCGAGGTGTTCGCGGGTAGTAGCTCCGCAGGTGGGCCCAAGCTTCCACCGAGTCCGCATCCGACATCTTCTCCCCTCCACGATCATCGGTGCAGATTCCAGTAACGCACAGCAGCCGCGATGATATAGCACCGATATCGCAACGTCCCCAGCACCATCTTCATCCCACCGAGCCTGAGGATGTTCCTGCCGATTTGGACGGCCCACCATCCGAACCCGCAATGCCCCGCGCATTCCCACCCGTAGAGCAAAATGATAAAACCAAACGAGCAAACGTGCCTAGGAGCGCTCTATCAGCATCCCTGGTTGAGAGTGTAGCCGGGTTCAGCGCTGGCATTGTCTCTTGTCTCGCTGCCCATCCACTCGACTTGCTGAAGAACCGCCTCCAACTCAACACCACCAGTCGATCGCGACCTGGCGACTCTTATCGGATCCTACGAAACGTAATCAGAGATGAGGGAGGCGTACGCGCACTATACAGGGGACTATGGCCGAACCTTCTCGGCAACAGTCTGGGTTGGGGTCTATACTTCCTGTTCTATGGAAACCTGAAAGAATTGTTCCAGAGTAGGAGGCAGAAGGGCGAGCATCTGGGAAGTGCCGAGTTCTTTTCTGCGAGCATCATCGCTGGTATGTTTGGAGACACGGAACTCCTATGGGCATCGTTAACCATTTGCTAGGTCTCCTCACCGGTGCTTGCACGAATCCTATCTGGGTAGTGAAAACGCGCATGCTCGAGCGCGGCGCAAACCACCCTGCCGCATACAAGTCCATGAAGATTGGCCTCCAACACGTATACGAAACCCGAGGATTGAAGGGCCTTTGGGCAGGCTTCCTGCCTTCGTCGCTGGGTGTGCTGCACGGCGCCGTACAGTTCAGCATATACGAGAACATGAAGAAGAGAAGGGGGACGCATATCGGCGGGCAAGACAAGCTGAGCAATTGGGAATATGTGTATATGAGCGGTGGAAGCAAGCTGCTCGCTGGAGCTATCACGTACCCGTACCAACCTATACGCGCGCGGTTGCAGCAATACAACGCTGCACAGCAGTACAACGGGCTGCTGGACGTACTCAGGAAGACGTACCAGAACGAAGGGTTTCTGGCGTTTTACAAGGGGTAAGAAAGCACCTACGCTCTGCACACCAGTGGAAAACAATGCTAACCTTCACAGTGTCATCCCCAACACACTCCGAGTTATCCCGACCACTGTTGTTACGTTTCTGGTATACGAGAACACGAAACTATATCTACCGAAGATGTTTGCAGATGACGAGCAACTGAGTCATGACGAAGACTAGACACGAGAATATACGCACCCAGCTACCATACCGACCCGCGCTTTACTACACGATATTTACCGATATGAAGACAGACGTAGACGAATCAATATTACACTGTTAACGACCTCCATGCGAGATATATGAAGAAGCACCTCGACATACTCCGAAGTGAAGGCAGCCATTGCTCAGACGAATAGATTGCGGCCGGTGGAACACCAGTTGTCCGTCCTTCTGCGTTACGGGAATCAAGCTCAGCGTTTCGACTAGTGTTGCTCGGTGCTCAGACTATACTGATATCGGGCAGCTGGTGATTGACATTGCGCAGAAATTGGGTTGCGCCGTGATAGCAATCCCTACTATCAGGAGCCATCCACCTGCAGCCTCTGGAGTGAATCCGTGTGTAGTTGCCACTTCCCACAGTCTACCTGGCTCAGTATGAGCGATTCAATCAGTCTCTCTTAGGCTGCATGCGATGAATCACTTTTACACGTCAATCACAACCATTGGAAAAGCTCACCTTGGGATAGTGAATCTCAAATCATTTAACATCGAGCAAAGAATCGCCGGTGCTTCACCGCGAGAGCCATAACCAAAGTTCAACCGACACTCAGCCGCAACCAGTCTACAGTGTTTCCGCATCGAAGCTCTTCGCAACCACCAACAGCGATGGCCTCATCAGACAAGCTTCAGCGCAAGCCTTCCATACTCAGGATGGGCAGGAAGTCTCGGCCGGACCGTCTTACACCATCTACTAACATGCGCCCTTCGACTCCCACGTCATCGGAATCCCCTGTCTCTCAGCCTGAGCGGCGTCAGAATGGCTTTCGAAGATTCTTCGGCAGATCTCGCGAGCCAGAAGCACAGAATCGAGTGCTCACGCCACCATCGTCATCTCCAATAGCAGCAGCGTCTCCACTCATTATCTCGAGGTTCGCCAAAGCATTTGTAGACGCCCTGAACGTTACGCAGCTCTCCAATTTCCTCGTCTGGATACTATACTACGACGTCGTTGAGCTGCCGGAAACCCCAGAGGCTTGGTATGCACCAATCGACAATATGGACATGCGTGGGTGGGTTGCGCTGGGAGAGTTCCTGGCAAAGGCACAAGAGGCGGGTGATGGATATGGCTTCGATCTGATTGTGTTGGACTCCATCTGTGATCGAATTCGATTATCGCGTCCGACAGTCCACACGCTGTTGATCCGCTTCGCCGATCCAGAAAAGATGAAACACAGTATTCTCGCTGCAGAAGGAAGCAAACCACTTACGCATGATGCTACAACGATGGAAGCCTTCGAAACCGCACAGTCGAAGTTAGAAGACTTGCACAAGTTGGCAAACCATCTGAAGCCACAGAAAGGGTCACAGTACGAATCGTGGCAGACGATGATTCATGAACGCTTGCGTGCGTTTCTGGACATGGTAGTCGGCCCACGCATCGCTCATCTACGTACAGGCAAACCGCTTACAACAGTTGCAACATCAGAGCAACTCCCGAAGGAATTTACAGAAGGCATCAAGATGAACTATCTCTACGAAGCCATGCAACAGGAGCGCACTGTACCATTGGAGCGTTATGGTATTCGTCAAGGTCACAACAAACACGAACACCAGACTCTGCAATCGTCTTCATCTCCAGTGAACGACAACGAGGTCGAGCGATCACGAAACCATGCCATTGCGCTCATGGCCGAGAACCGTGAACTGCGTTCTGACATCGCTGTCCTGCTGCAGGACAAGGAGAGATTGATCAAAGCAAACGAGAAGTTGGCACAAAAGGCTTCTAAACTCGGTCGCCTACAGCCTGCAGGTTACATCCGTTCGCCTCCCTACGATGACTGGCCCGAAGACACATCAGGCAAGGAGAAGGTTAACGGCGAACAACCAATCACTTCACAAATCCCACTGCGCCCAACCCGTCCTCGTTCGGTCTCTACCGGCGATATCGAAGCCCTCGCTACAGCCCTCGAACAAGGCCTCACCATCACCACGCACCACCGCCAGAGCTCTGAGATCCTAGCTCAAAAATACGACGACGTGTTCTCCAGCTTACATTCTTCTCCCTTACCAACCCTCCGCCTCTCGGCACTCCCAGCACCATTGACGCCTTCGCCTTCATCATTCAACGGCAGTACGACTAGACCGATGACGCTGGGGAATGCGCCAAGGAGTGGCAGGCGTAGTGGCATGATCTTCGATGGAAACAAGATGGGTTACTTGGCTGGAGGAGGAACGCCAACAGCAGAGGACAGCGACGATGGGTATGTACCTGTCACACCAACACGGGAGGGGAGCAAGAGGTTTGATCTGCTGGAGTAGGTATAGGTAATCACGAGAGTGGTCGTTCCTTCGCGTTCGGCCTACATAAGACACATATTTGCCTAAACATTTGCCTAAATATAGATTCTATTACTTAATAGCTACTACTATCTCTAAACTTTTACTTTATTAATACTTTTAAGCTATAACTATAAATAATACTATTAATATATTTTACTTATATTTTAAGCTAAAAGTAAGTACTACTAAAGTACTAAGTTTTTTATATTATTAGTATAAAGCTAGCTTATAAAAAATAGTAAAGTAAATTATTTATAACTTATTTTTTAAAGTTTACTTATAGTTATACTATATAAGTCTTACTTATATAGTTAGCTAGATTCTAAATTAATAGTACTTTTATATACTTTACGCTTAAAAAAGATATATACTATTTTTTACTAATAGATAGTATTTTAACTAATATTATAGTTTTATCTATACTTACTTAATTATATTATTATATAACTAGTCTAGTTTAATTAAATTAAACTAGCGCTAGCTTTAGAATATAAAAGTTTTTATACTTTTATATTCTACTTAATAGCTTATATTCTATTATATACTTATTTAATTATATCTTTTATATTATATAAACTTTTTTTTAAAATAAGCTAACTTTTATATATAAATTATATTCTAGTTATAAAGTAATATAGACTAATATATTTAGCGCGTAATACTAATAGATTACTATAGCTTATCTAAGTAAAGTATATAATACTAACTAGTTATAGTAGCTCTATATTCTATATCTTTATATTACTAATAATATAGTTTAGAATACTATTAAAAGTAGCTCTACTAGTAGTAATAGTAGTAAGCTTACTAATTCTAATAATACTTAGACTTAGTAGTAGCTTAATAAAGACTTTAATAATAAGCTAAGTAACTTTAAAAGTAATTCTAATATTAGTAAAGCTAAAAAGGTCTAGCTATATAAAAAGTATAAGACTACTTTTACTAAATATTAATATACTTATAGAGTATGCTTTAAAGTAAATAATAAAGCTAATAATAATACTAATAATAGTAGTAATAAATAAAAGTATTACTATAACTCTAGATACTAGTCTTTTTAGATAGCTATTAATCTATATAGTTAGACTTTTATTAATATAGACTAGAATAATAAAACTAATACTATTTATTTTTATCTTTTTAATATCTACTTTAGTAGTAAAGAGAAGATTCTTACTAATATAAGAACTTCTATCTAGTACTAAAAAGCTATAAAT